GCAGTGATAGTGATGCCAAGGACAATTCGGGAAATGTGATCCCTATGCGGGAAGCCGGAAGCTCACGTGGACGCGGACGTGGTCGTGGTCAAGGACGAGGCAACAACGTTGCTGGCAGCAGTAACGAGAAGTATACCTCATCCAGCGGTATACTCTGGACCCCTATGAACCTCAGCAGCACCGCTTCCACTTCAGGTCGCACGCCAGCTTGAAATATTGTAACCACTTCAAGTGGACCAACATCGTTTGCTCGTCGTAATATAAGAACAAATCCTGCTTCAGCTTGGCGTTTGATGGTGAGTGAATCAATGGTAAAACACATTCAATCATGTACAGTTGCTGAGGCACGACGCCAACTTAGAGATGATAGTAACTGGCATGTTACTCTTTAAGAACTTGATGCCTTTTTTGCCCTCCTGTATGCCCGTGGAGCACTAGGCCATTCAAAACTTTGTGCAGATGATTTGTAGAACAAAAATTGGGGACCACATGTGTTCAAAGAAACAATGTCACGTAATCGGTTCCGTGAAATAATGCGGTATCTCAGATTCGATGTCCGAAGCACCAGAGCTGATCGTCTCGCCACTAACAAATATGCTCTCGCTTCTGAAACCTGATACAAACTAATGGAAAACTGTTATTTATGCTACAATCCTGGACCAGAAATAACCGTTGATGAACAATTGTTGCCTTGTAAATCAAGATGTAGGTTTATCCAGTACATAGCAAATAAACCGGACAAGTTTGGCATCAAATTCTGGATAGCAACTGATGTAAAATCCAAATATGTTTTGAATGGTAAAATCCAAATATGTTATCCTTATCTGGGCAAGGATGACGACAGCATAAAGAAAAAACCGAACACTGTCACTTACTACAACATGTACAAAATGTGGCGTTGATGTCGCAGATCAGATGCTGAAGAAATATAGTACAAGTAGTCGCAGAGGGTTTGTACATGTTTTTTACAACGTCCTTGACATTGCTGCACTCAATGCTTGGATTATATTCAAATAATCCTTGGGCACCTCTATTTCCCTTCGAGAATTTATTCTTGCACTCGGTTACGACTTTGTACACAACGCAACAGATGCCCCTCGATTGCTCAAATACAGACGCTTAAACGAAAGAAATATGCATTTCAAAGTTGCAAGGGACAAAACAAGACTGTTGTCAGCTGTGAGGGATGCCGGAAACCAATTTGTGGTAAATGTGTTGCTGTCACTGTCAAGCGTTCATATTGTATCACCTGCGGTGACGGTGATGTATAACAAACTTTGGAAAACATTGTGTGTTTATTCCCAATTTATGTTTTTTCATAATTTTTTGCATATGTTCTATTTTCCACTTTTCGCATTTGTATCTTTTGTTTGTTTTTCACAGATTTTGTTTTTTTTTGTTATCTTACATTGAAAGATATTGTGTGCTAATTTGCACTAATTGCACGAAAAAAAATTCTAAAGCATAAAAAATAAATAAAAACCTCTAAAAACTCTCTTATGGGGTCATTTCAGTCATTTACTGTGTTTCTACTTACATTTCTTATGAAGGTCAAATTGACCCCCAATGGTGGTTTTCGGTTCGTCTGAAATTCGGCTGTTCTAGTGTTAAGGTTAGTTAATACGAAAAGGTATTACTAGTTGACCCATGGTTCATTGCTGGTGTACCCCATACTTTTACCTGTATCTGCTAGATTTGTTACTTTAGATAGCTTTTCTTGTCTTCGCGCTCGCTTTATGATTGCCGATGTTTGAATTTACGCCGGTGACATTCTGAGCCAACGTTCCGTTAAATTGTTCTGTGTAGCCTTTAGCTTTACATTTGATTTACTACCGAGAGTTTTCTTGCCATAAGTGCTGCAGAATTTGTAAGCAGCAGGAATGGCTTCTGATCATCTGTTTAGTTTTAAATAAAAGGGTCTTATACACCCTTCCCAAGTTTCTGTTGTTTCTCAGACTTAGTGATAAGTTGATTAAAGTCTACATAGCGTTAAACACTTTGTGTGATAGTAAGAAAGACAAAATCTGGAATCTAATTGTAAATTTGTATTTACAGATATTGTATTGTAAATTTTTATTTACAGTTAATTTAATTGTTATTAAATTTAGCATCAATGGCATCTTCAGACCCCCAAGTTTTTAAAATTAGATTTTTGGAATCTAATTTTAAAAACTTGGGGGTCTGAAGTGAGTGGATTTCCAAATTATTGAGAGTAACTTTATTATTACTTCTCCTTCAATTGTCTCTCAAGTACACGGAAGCTATAACCTGCCTAAGAGAAGGAATGTTTTCCTGGTGAGCGTTTTAACGGAAACTATTGCATACATACGTATAATAAAAATGGAGAAAATTACGAAAGCGTCTATGCAGCCAGCCCGTTCGCAAGATATCGAATCCAGCGAATCTCAAATATGAATCTTAAAGCCGTGCTCAGAATGAACGGTGTTGGATCAATCCTATCTTAAGTCGTACTAAATTTTTTTCTTAACTGAAAATGCTTCTGAATCTTCTAAATCGTCTACCATAGCCCAGTTATACAATGTTTAGGAGAAGTACAGATGTATTATATCAATGATGGAAAAGGTATAGGAAAAGGGTAGGAAAGGTATAGGCGTACAGCAATTTAATAGAATTTCCTAGAACATAAATTTTTAACGACTTTGTAGAGTCATTAGATTTATCGATGCTGGAGACGTCAAAAATGTGCAATTTCTTCCCCGAGATTTGAAATCCGGACCTCCTGATTACACCTCGGATGTTCTATACAGTTGCATCACGAAGGCACGCAGAAACGAGGGAGAAAATACCGTATAACCTAAATAACTTATAATTTCTACAGATGTGAAATAAGTTAAAATTGAATTTACCACCTAACGATTAATCATAAACATTATTTAATTGATTTGGAGAGGTATCACCTACTGTAAGTGCTTAATTTTTAATGTAGCAAACAATTCTAAATTAAAATCCAACACGCGTTTCTTAACCAATCCTGATAGTTTCAAAAACTTAAAGGATGACGCAAATTCTCGTTGCACAAAATCACAAAATTGATGCCACTAGCTTGGTGGATAAGCTTCAATCGATTTACACAAAAATCCACTGCTTGCAATAACACCTGGGTCAGATACGCTGTATCTAAATTCTTAAGACGGCTTAATCAAGTACAGCCACTAGCTCTCGGTATCTGTTTTACAATAACTTTACAAAAACTTACTCAGGCAACGAGGCAGCACGTGTCAGCAGGCTTACTGTCGAGATTAAGCTCCTGCTTTCAAATTTTGCCGCTTTCTATCCAATTTACGCAAATTTCTCTTCTGAGCGAGTACTAAGACAACTCAAAAAGGCTCAAAACTACTGTTAAATGAAACTTATCAAGATCTGCTACAACTTGACTATGAGGTTAGTAGAGTTTATAGAAGCCCGCTATTCATTTCTCGGAGGGGACAACAGCTTATTCATGACACTGCATATTCGTTCAAAATTTCAGATATAACACACATAAATGTTGGCATGTAAAATGAGGAGGTCTATTAAAATCAAAAATATATATGTAACACACACATTATATATAGCATATTTTCATTTTAATAGACTACATATAATATATATAGAGAGAGAAGTATTCATTTGTGAGGATCAAATTATTAGTCTGAATTTTCAAATTTATCCTAATATTAAAAATAATTCTTTTTTTTACATTCTACATTTCTCTTTATTAAATAGGACGATATATATTTCCCTTTTATTATAAAATTTTAGATTTCCTTATATTTTAAAACTAATATTTATTCTCGTCTAGTATTTCTTGAATGGAATTATCTAGAATCTCAATATACATTTTATTCACCGAACCTAAAATATTATCATATACCTTTCAATCATATACTATATCTTGTATTCATATATGTAATTGTGGGTTCTGACATAAATTTCGTTATAATTAAAATATGTATTAAACATTCTCTATATACCGAATACTTTCATTTGCTTTATTTTATTATGTAGAGATTTTCTTTTGCTTTAAATGGGTAATAGATTTTCAATATTTCTTTGAAGCATATAATACAAAAATAAATTGTTTATTCTTACTTCTTCAACAAGTCACGAGCGCTGAACCTGCACCATTACTTTCGCCACACTGACAACTTTTTCGGAATCATTTACAAGTCCAATATTTTATAAAAACCACTGTTTTGATTTCTTTATAAATAGTTCATACATTTCTCTAATTAATTTTATTTAATTAGAGATTCGCAGTCATAAAATTGATTTTTTGTTATTAATTTTCAATAAAAAAATTGCAATTGTCCAAATTATTTTCTGCTTCTCTTATTTCTATTGTTATTTTACGACGATGACTCACATCTACATTTGCTCTTTAGTATTAGAAACTTTTGCTTGGTTACTATTTTGTAGCAGTTTTTAAATTTTTGTAATAGTTGCTTTCTTTCACTTTTTTTCTTTTAAATTTGTTCCGAATGTATCTAATAATCTCCTTTTATTCACATAATAGCTCTGATTTTTATGTTCGCGACCTACTTTTTTTGTGTCTCCATTCATCCTGTTAATAAAAACTAAACTATTAAATATTTGCTGAAAATGAAATGCCAATGAACGATTTTACATTCTGTTACTATTTGAAAGAGTGTCAAATATCGTAACTGTACTTCATAATTATTAATTACATTGTTAAATAATATTTGAATTGTCTATAATTACTACTTAATTGGCAGGTTTCCAAGAAATTGTAAACTATGATTGTCGGAGATAAATTATCTGTTAAAAAGGTATTACATTTCTGAAGATTTGAAGAGATTATAGAATAACAGATTATCTACAGAAAAAGGATTAACGCGACATGAAACTTTACGGAAGCAAAAGGGATTCTAGTGGCAATAAAAGATACGTGACGTTATAAGAGGGAAGGAGGATAGAAGGAAGTAACAGTGTAATGTAGCGGAACTTTGTTCGCTCTAGAATAATTGAAATTTCTTCACCTGGCTGCACGAGGCGCACGTCCAAGATCTTCTCCACCTGGGAGTTGTAGGCGGTAATGTGGAAGATGCATTCTGGGCTATCTTGGACGCACGTGATGTTGACCGGCACGAGATCCTCAGATACCTGCTGCCATCTGGCGGCGCCCGTCGAAGAACTCACGTGGAAAACCTCCGCCCAGAGCCTGGAAAGAGAAGCGGGTTGCGTTTAGTCTACATCGCGAAAACAACCCAGTAAGTCCTATGAATGAATAAAAAAATAAACTATCAAACATTATTAGTAAAGCTAATGCATGGTTGGATGAATAGATTGTTGTTTTTAAAATACTGAACATATTTCAAACAATATATGCTTAAAATAACAGTCGAAAAGCGTGCCTGTTTAAAAATTATGTAGGCAGCTGGCGTGATTTTAGAGCACTCAGCTGTTTGCAGAAATTTTTTTCATTTGTGTTTACATTAATTTTGTTATTTATTCAACTGTTAGCTTGTTTTACTATAAATTGGTATCTATTTTACTATAAATTGGTATCTATTTTACTATAAATTGGTATCTATTTTACTATAAATTGGTATCTATTTTACTATAAGCTGGTGTTTTTTGGAATGCTGTTGCTTCGCTTTTACTGAATTTTTCCTTTCTTCAAAGTGTTATCATGTTCATTGGATCACTGCTTATTATTTTACTTTTGTTTTACCTTCCGTATAATTTTGGTTAGTTTTTCACAGTAAATAAAAGGTTTGGGTAAAATAACGGAAAATACAGAATTGATTTCTAATTTCATTTGAATTTAATGAAAACTTTGAAATTTCTCCTTGTGTTGATAGAAATATTTTGCAATTAAAATTGTCAATTCTACGTTCAGAAAACTGCGAATTTTTAATCAAAATGAAATACTTATTATACAATATAATAAATTAAATAGTAATTGCATACGAAATTTTACTGCCAGTGGAAAGTCCGGATCAATTTAGCACTAGTACATACACACGTCCATTTGATGAATACACTAGTGTTCTCTTGTTCTAGAGCTTCATAGCAAATAAATTATTGCAAGAAAATGTACCTGATACGAATATTACCTGTTATGTTCATGATATTATGGTAAATATAACAGGAGACTCCCTCGAAAAAATAGATGCTACTTTTAACCAGATTGAAAATGTTTCTAAGAAGTGGAGTACTGAGCAAAATATAGAATTTAATATTCAACAAACAACTCATATGTTTCCTCTTTGGGGGAGGTGGAAAGGTTAGAATCTCCAGACTGAAATATGATCAAAAAATTGCATTTTAAGTCAATACAACGAAATATATAAAACATTTTAAATTATTATAAAAGTACTTTTACTCCGATCACTCTCTCTAACAAAAGCTCTACCCTGAGGGATATTTACGAAGTGTTATTACACCGAAAATATGGTATTGGCACATGGGGTGACAGAGTAGGGATGCTTGTCAAGACAAATCAGAAACTGGACTCATTGCAGAGGGCCTGCATACTTGCAATTGCAGTATCATTAAGAACAGTCCCGACGGAAGTTGCGTGTCTACTGGCTGGTGCAGATTTTATCTAAGATATAATACAAAACAGAAAATATTGTATGACGATAAAGCAACTACCAGGGAGACCTTTTTACAGCATGTTCTGAGTTCAAATAATTTTAGCGAATCTTATGGTATATCCGACGATAAAGACTATATTTCAATTAGAGAAACTGAAATTTATACAATGTGTGTGTGTGATTATGGCAAAGCCTCGAGGACTGCCTAAGGGAAGGAATGCCTTCGTGGAGGACTTTCTAAGGGAAACTGGCTCGTATACACGTTACACATGGGGAAAACCACAAAAACGCCCATGCAGCCAGCCCGTTCGCGGGATTCGAACCTCGGACCGAAATACTAGTGTTCATCGACTTTACCGCTCGGCCGCTGGTGGGCGAAACTTATACAGATGGATTAGGGTTTGCAGAGACCGTCGGCTGTGCCTTCGTTGTATTTTTCGAAGGTATTGAGACTGATTGCAAAACGTTTAAAGGCAGGACAACCTACCAGCGGCCAATCGATAAAGTCTTTGAACACCGGTAATTCGGTCCGAAATTCGAATCCAAGGGAATGGGTTAGCTGCATGGGCCTTTTCGCGGTTTTCCACATGTGTAACGTATATATGACTTCGTTTCCGTTAGAAAGTTCTCTACGAAGGCAACCATTCCCTTCGCAGATTGCCCTCGAATGCTTTGCCGTAATTAAATAAATCAGACCAAAAGGCAGGAAATGGAGCAGGAAACATAACTAATCCCCGATACCCTCGCTAGCATTCGAACTTCGGGTATTCCGATTGCTTAAAAGATATACATCACGGAGACGCGGCAGGAAGAAAGGAGAAATTCCTTTCAGTCTCTCCCACTTAAAAGAGTGACTGGGAAAAAATGAGATCCTGTTTCAAAACTATCATCCATCACATTTAAATCGGATGTTATTGTAGAGCCATTACGAATTTTGTTTTATATTTGTTTTTGTGGAGGGTAGAGGAAACCTAGAAAACATTAAGAATCGGCGATGCCTTCTTAAGATTCGAACACCAAACCTTCTGATTGATATCTGGATGTGCTACCAGTTATAAAACGAAGGCACGCTATAAAAAAGGAGAAAATTTCTTTAAAGGTTTATGGAAGTGAATGGCCCAAATCAGAGAAAATGTTTCAGGCAAACGAGTTGTAAGACAGGAATTTCAAAATAATTTGCCCATCGCATTTTAAATATACTCTCATTGGTAAGGATAATCCAAGCAAACATACCTCACATTCTATAATCCACCTCAAACAGTACAATTTTTCAAGTCGTATATTTGGCAAGATCGACAGAAGACACATAGTTTTCGAAAATGAAAGTTTAGAGTGATGAAGCTACACTAAAAACAGTCATTGACAAACAAATTATTCGTTTCTGTAAATTATTTTAAATTTTGAAAATAAACTATTTGTTAATAAACACTGACATTATCAATCGAAGAATGTACACATTTTCGGAAAGGAGGCGGCGTATCAGCAGATTAAACTAAAAGTAAATTTTGGTAAACAGTTCGAGGAATGTATTACTTTTTGATATTCATAAACGTAAATTTCGTATGCAAGTAAGATGGAAAAAACGAAAAACGTGCATATGACAAAAATTTCTTATGATACGTAAATTAATTTATATGTAGCTTAGCATAAAAATGAAATAAATATTTTTAATTGGGAATCAAACTGAAAACGTGTATAGAATTTCGATCTCTAATAATCACGCAGTAATGAATTAATCAAGAATAAAAAATTATTCGTTGTTAAAACGATGAACACTTATTTTAATCCTTTATTCCATTCTTGCAAATTTCTTGAAAGTATACAGAAAAATGTAAATTACTAAGTTGAAGAACAGTCTTGGTTAATGCAAATAAGAAAACTGGCGGAACTATAATATTTTTACTTGATAATATTAAATACAACAATAAGATCTTTGATGTTGCGTTGATTATACAAGAAGACAATTCAGTCAAACAACAATATTTTCGAATTATTAATATGAGAAACATTTTATTATTATAATATTTTTTATTCAAACCTTTTGTTTGTAAACCTTTCAAAATACGCCACCCAGACGGTATATTGGTTAGGGCAGCCTGACTGCGATACCGAAGGGCCTGAGTTCGAATCCAGGAGAAGGCATGGTTGCAACTGTCCGTCCCTTCATAGGAGACAATGTTTGACGCACCTATTAGGTGCCTACATAATAAAGAGACCACCACATCTGGCCTTGTATAGATTAATGGACTATAACTAACAATCTGCCATTGGGGGAAAAAAATCTTTCAAAACATTTTGCTTGCTAAATACTTTTTACTTGCATTTAAAACATAAAAAATTAGGGAATTCTGCTCTATTTACTTTCTGTAAAACGGAGGACAAGAAAATAACAGAGTTCTGTATCGTGATATATTAATGTTAGGAAATTTTATTTATTAATTATAACAAAGCTGCAAATGTTAATAAAAATATTAAATTCGATTTATCAAAAATTCAGTTACGTATATGATTAAAATTATTATGAGAGTTTATTGTTTTTTTAATAATTTTAATTACCAAGCAGTTAAACATTGATTACATTTGAAAGAAAAATTTAAATATTTATACTTTGCCGAACTGCAACATTCTGAGGAATGGTTATTAGAGATACCACGTGGATGACGAGTATCTTATATTTCGCTTACTGCTGCTCGGCTTTGTAACATTTAACACGGCTTGGTAGTATCTGTCAAGGCGCAGGAAAAAAAAGCTTCGATGTAATAATTCAAACATTTTGGAAAGATTCATCGAAAGAGTTAATTAATGTCAATAACATTTTGTACTCGCACATTCTTAGCACTTTTAGTGATATCGCTTTTCATTGGTGTATCAATTTAGATGATAATGTCCCAAACATATTTAGAAGAGATCATTTATCGCAAACATATTTTCCAAGATATCAAAACTTACACTTGTTACGTTACCTTACGTTTCATCACGCTTCCATGCATTTTCTTTTACAAGCCACTCGCAAGTTGCTATCGTACGAAATAAAATATTTTCTTTGCTAACAGCCGATTTTTAGAGTGCTGCCATTCCAGAAGATGTAAGAGCTTCACGTTTATTCAGTTTGAATATTTTAATAGAATCGGCGATTTAAAATCAATAAATGCGGTTCCTAGAAATTAAAATCTTTATTTTCTAGAATATTTTTAATTAATATAACTGAACACATATTCAATTTATAGCATTTAGAATTTACAATTAATAGAAATAAATTGCAAAATTAGAGCATCAAAATGATAAAGAAGCTTAAAAAAGCTTCAATTTTTTGTATTAGTTTGAACAGACCAAGTAGAACAAAAACCATGTTTAGAAGCAATCCAACACAATAAAAATATAATAACATGTGAAAATTTGAAAACATACAGAATTAAAAATTTTTTTTGCAAAATTATGGCATCAAAATCATAAATAAGCAAGAAGACTTAACGATCTAATTAAAATTAGTTTCTATTTAAACAGACCAAGTCTTTTCCCAAAAAACATGAACAGAAGTAAGCCACAACATGTGAAAAGATAATAAATAATAAATGAAAATTTGATCCAAAACACATAAAATAGAAATAAAAATAATATT